ATTATTATTATTATTATTATTATTATTATTATTATTATTATTATTATAGGCAGCACAGTGGCGCAACTAGTAGAGCTGCTGCCTCTCAGCGTGCAGGTCCCTGGTTCAAATCCTTTCTGGGTGGAGTTTGCATGTTCTCTCCGTGCATGCGTGGGTTTTCTCCGGGTGCTCCAGTTTCCTCCCACAGACCAAAACATGCATGTTAGGCTGATTGGTAACTCTAAATTGTCCCTAAGTGTGAGTGAGAGAGTGAATGGTTGTTTATGTGTCCCTGTGATGGACTGGAGACCTGTCCTGGGTGTACCCTGCCCCTCGCACAATGATTGCCGGACATGGGCACCGGCGACCCCCGTGACCAAAAATGGAAGAAGCAGGTAAAAGATAATGGATGGATGGATTATTATTATACGTTTTTGGAATATAATGTCTTTTGCATACTTTGTACTATTTTAGTCATACTGTGCATATGTCCAAAAGTTCGGCTAATTTAGGAAATGGGGGTGCCATGACTAAGGTTTTGTAACTTTTATACATTTCAAAATAGTTGGCTTAATAAGAACTTTCTCATAAAAATACAATGAGATATCTACAAATCCTTGAAAACAATGTTTTAACAAAAAATCTGCTTAAACATTATGCTTTATTTATCGTAAGCTTTATTTTTGTCTTATACTTTTTTAGCTTTTTTCCAGCCTTTAGCTTTGCTTTTAGCTAGTGCTCTAGCTCAAGTCATTGTTCTCTACTATTAATGGATAAATAAATATACTGTCATATACAAAGTAGCTTCAGCTGAATAATCATAACTCAGATTGTTACTATTGGATACAGTATTGGTTTAAAATGTGGTGAGGAGGAAGTAGAGATTATATTTTAGCAGTTGGAAAAGCTTTTCTGGGAGTAATCCTCAGTTATGACTGAGCATATTCAGATTTCTGTCACACGTTCCTCTGTTTTAGCTCTGTGTGAGATAGCTCAGTGTTTTCTGCAGCCTCCGTGCGCTCTGTGTGGATCTGCACAAATGAACCAGCTAAAATTCAGCCAGCCTTTTCATGCAGCCTGCTCTCACTTTTACGTATGAGGGGAATGCAGTTTACTTCAGCTGTAGTCTTTTTTCATTTGTAGCAGACACGATGTGACTGTACGGCCAAGAATCTTTTGTAGGTGCCGCATTTGGGCCATTTGTTACCATGGTAACTCAGAAAAAAGGAGGGGAATCTTCTTGTGAAATAAAGTGTGAAGAAAAAAAATAATGGAGATTTTACTCAAGTTTAGGGACTTTTAACAAAAATACTGGCTTCAACCGCTAATTTCAATCTATGGAGGTCTTTTGAAAAAAATACTTTTTTTTTTATACAAAATGTATGAAAATTGTTTTTCTATACTTGTAACAGGTCTACTTAAGAGATTCACTTAAATTAATATAAAAGCAATGCCCAGAGATCAAGAAAAGAAACAAGTACAAGACAAAGGAAGCTAGCTGAGAATCTGACCTCCATCCAAACAAGAAACAATCCTATAAGGCTAATAGCCAATAAACCTACTGTGTCACCATCTGTATAAATCTCTCTGTAGTTGACTATTCTCCTCCCTTTTAAGTACAAAGTGGTTTCTTGTAATCAAATAGCAGGCTGCCTTTAATGTAAAGACCTGGAATATTTTCATGCATCTTATAAATATTAATCACTTCTAAGGGATTATGATGAAAGTGTTTATAATGAAGACATAAAAGAAGTCACTTGCCATGGATGGTACCAGCGTTGTACAATCATGTATGATGTGTTCTCCTGCTTGTGCTCAGGAGATGCAGTTGTATTCCCACTGCTGCTGTAAATACCCTTTGGATGCCATGTTTTCAGGGTCTCTTTTGTGAATTCCAGTGCCGAGCCATTGTGTAAGTGTGTGATGTAATCCGTCCACGAATGAGAGTTCACAGAGGAGGATGAGCAGGAGAGAGTGGTGGTAGAAACTGTGCCAGTGATTCACCCTATTGTTATGTAGGTTTACATCATGTACAGCCTTCTGATCTCAGGTGTTTCACCAATCATCCCGCTGGAAGCCTCTGGTTGTGTGCATTTTACATCGTTCTTTGTGCATTTGTTTTTTCTTATGATTTTTTTTTCTTCTTTCGGCTGCTCCCTTCTTCAGGGGTCACCACAGCTCACTAACTCGCACAAAGACTTGGTAATTGTTTTTACACCAGACGCCATTCCTGATGCAACCGCAGACCACCGAGCTACCACGCCCTCTGTGTGAAGCAGAGAGCTGCCATCTAACGCACCCGGGGGAGCAGATGGTGGGGGTTAAGGGCCTTGCTCAAGGGCCCAGGGTGGGACAAATGAGGATGGAGGCAGGTGTGGATGGTTCATCTCTCCCACCCACATTTTTTATGTTTTCAGTCGTTTGGAGTTGAACCGGCGACCTTCCGATCGCAACCTTCTCTCACCTCTGCTCCACCACAGTTGATTTTTTTTTTTTAATGAGGCTCTGTGGAAAGGTCATGAACAATCAACGTCTTACATGTAAATAGCTTTTGAATCAACCATAGTTAAGAAATAAAATTAGATTCTGACCAGATTCTTAAGCTTACAGCTAGTTCTTTTACATGGTTGTCAGGTTTAAATCTAATTTATGTGTTTGTTTGTTTGTTTGTTTGTTTGTTTTTTCTGCAAGTGCAGTCAGTAGCAGCAGGAGCTAGCTGTAGCACAGCATTTACCAGACATATCAATATTTCTGGTAGAATAATCTGAGTAATCTGAATTTGACAGTGATTAAATGTTTTTGAAGTAGATTTCACATGAAAAGTCTTTGATACAAGCATTGTTTTAAAATGACAAAAGTCCACTTTGGAAGTGGCCCCCAAAGATTAAGCCATTTGCTCATCAATCCATTCTGAAGTACTAATTGCTAATTTTCCAAACTGAGAGTGTTCAAAAAGTTAGAACAAGTTAGTGGCCGTCTACACTGGAACAGTTTTTGAGAATGTGCAAAAGTTTTTTATTTTTATTTTAATCTATTCGTTGATCCTTGAGACTACACAGAGCCCAAAAAGCTATCTTACAAAAACAGGTTTCAGAATGAAAAGCATTTAAAAACACCATTGCAGCATGTTCATTTCTGCAAAACAAACAATTGCTTCATCCGAAGGACTTCTTCAGGACTTCTTCTTCTACTTATTGGATTCATACCTGGATTAATGAGCATGAACTTTGGTGTTTTGAACCACGTTGGCATGGCTGCCTTTAAAGGAGTTGACAGGGGAGAGAGTGGGCACCGGAGGCCATCTTATCACCAGTTTGTTTTTTTTTTTTACTCTGGGAGTGAGCTGTTTGCAGGATTCAGTTTGGTTTGGTGGGCTCCACAGACTGAATAAGTCCTTCGGATGAAGGACGAAACGTCTCAGCAACAAAAGATACCGTCCAGATGACCTGACTGAACATTGTTGGATTTATACCTGGATTCAACAATGTTCACTCAGGGCATCTCGATGTTTTCTTTTTTGTGCTGAGACGTTTTCCCATCCTTCTGAAGGGCTTCATCAGAGGCCATCTTAGCACCAACATAACTGTTTTGTTTTTTTCCACTTTGAAGTAGGCTGTTGGTGGAGAATCAGTTTTGTTTGGTGTTTCCTCAGACTGTTGAAGCCCTTCGGATGGAGGGTGAAACGTCTCAGCACAAAAAAGAAACTGTCCAAATGACCTGACTGAACAGGGTTGGATTTATACCTGGATTAATGAGCATGAACTTTGGTCAATTATGCCATAGCTCTACAACTAATCTAAGATCACTTCAGAACATCTAAACTATCCATTTAAAGCAGCCGGTCATAGAAGTCAGTCTTCCTGCAACTGGTGTATGTATATTTGTAACCTGTTGTCCATTGCTGTGCAGACAACATTTGGAGCATTAACAACATACACTGAGACGATTTGTTTTCTCGCCCCTGAACGCAGCTTGTGTATTCCACAGGAGTTTGCTGTGTTGACTAAAGAGCTGAACATTTGCCGGGAGCAGCTTCTTGAGCGTGAGGAGGAAATTGCTGAGCTCAAAGCGGAGAGAAACAACACGCGTGTAAGATGTTTAGCGGCCATTTTGCCTATTAACACTGTAGCACAGCCTTCTCATCTCTTTCGCCCTTTATGTTTGTGTGGGTGTGAGATTGTGTCATTAGCTTTTTTCTTTTTCTTCTCTTCATTCCCCTGTTCTGTCTGTTTTTCTTGTCTCTCCTGCCCATTAAGGAGCTCACTCAGTGTTTTCACTTGTTGTTGCTCTCAAATACTATTCTTCTCTCTGTCACCCTCCACACCCGTTCTCTGATTTCTTATTACCTCCTCAACTTTTTTGGCCACATTCTTAAAAAACCACTTGTCTAACCTACCTTACCTTGTCTTTACTTCCCGCTCCTCCTCTCCTGTGATTCAATATCCTTCAGTTATTGCTTGAGCACCTGGAGTGTCTAGTGTCACGCCACGAGCGCAGTCTGAGAATGACTGTGGTCAAGAGACAAGCCCAGTCCCCTGCAGGAGTCTCCAGCGAGGTGGAAGTCCTCAAGGCCCTCAAATCTCTGTTTGAACATCACAAAGCCTTGGATGAGAAGGTGGGTCCAACAAAGGAGCTGTAATTATTATTTTTTGTTTAGCTTCATACTATCATAAATTAGTTTTTAATAAATCTCCAACATTAAATGTCTGCTCTCCACTAACTGTAAAGTCTATTTTGCAACCTTGAAGTAAAGAATTTAAAAAAGTCAGACCATGAAATCTTTATTGACAATGTGTATAACATTTAAAACAGTACACTAAATTTAAATATATTTAAGAAGATTAGCTATCGAGCTTCAGCGTGCTCAGATGTGCTTTCAACTTATTATTATTATTATTATTATTATTATTATTATTATTATTATTATTATTATTATTAGTTTTTGCTTATGGAGCAGTTTGGTCAAATTATTTTTACTTAATATCATTAATAAAACTGCATCTGGTTTACATTTTTGAATCCTAATAATAATAATTTGTATTTTTGTTGTTATCATTATAAATAACACACCTTTTAATAGAATAATTATTTGCTGCTGTGTTACCACATCCCTTTAAAAACTCTTAGTGCATTTAAAGGATGGAATTGTTCCCTTTTGTAGAACAAAACATCACCTTTCAGTTACTGCTTTGCCTGCTCATTTTACATGCATACAGTAGTCCCTCGTTACTTTGCAGTTCGACTTTCACGGACTTGCTCTTTCGTGGTTTTTCAAAGTAAGATTGGGCATGACACACAGTTGGCTGATTAATGGATGAGCCGCCAAAGTGGCATGGCTTTTTTATTTAAAAAATAAATTATTTAAAATTATTTAGCACCTGTGTGCAGCCCACAGGTGCAGGGAGAAGTTCCCTCCTGTAGCCTGTCATGATCTCTGCTCTCTGCCACGCACATATTTCTGCTCCGAGGAGAAGTGGCTTTGTGAAGGATTAACCTTTTGCTGTCCTGCTGCACCAATTTACTTTTGTCTTCCAACTTAAAATTCAAAGTATGTCACATCATAAAATCGTCACAAACACAAAATATAAAAGTGCTGAAAGTAATTTTTAATCATTTTAGAACTTCTATGTTCAGTTGTTTCAGTGTAATTGATCAAGAAGTAAATTTCTGCTCTGTGCTGCATCTGCTGTGTGAAGGGTTAACCCTTTGCTGTCCTGCTGCACTTCTTTTCTCTGCAATTTAAATTTAAATAGGCCCAATGTAATATTTTAAATAAACAATCCATGCTGCATGGATTGTTTATTTAAAATATTACAGTTTTAAATTTAAATTGTTTATTTACACAGAAGGAGGGAGATTGGGAGTGAAACTGGTGATGAGTGAGTGTGATTGCAAGAGAGAAGTGGGCTGGCAGAGAGCGGAGATGATGACATGCTGTAGGTCTCTTTTGTAAATGAGTCCCCAAGGCTCATTGAGATTAACCTGCATAAATAAAGGTTGAATAGAGCATTAAGAGCAGGGCTATTCAACTAAACTGCTCAGGGGGCCACAGTTACTGAAAGCCAAGAGCTCAGGGGCTGGACATCCAGCAGTTATTGTCATTAAATAAGTTTGTTTTATGGTTTAAAATCTAGTTTTATTTAAAATGAACCCATTGGTGGGCCAAACTGAGTTCATCTGTGGACATGATTTGGCCCCTGGGCCACCAGTTGAATAGCCCTGATTTAGAGTTTAGAAGCATATTGCAAGAGAGTGGGCAGGGTTTATAAACCCAGATATAAACGAGGGACTACTGTACATCTGTTTTTTATGGGACTGATAAAATGTCATACATGCAGTATATGTATATCAGTCTCCTCACCATCACAGACATCTACACCTCCAGATGCAGGAAGAAAGCCACCTGCATCATGAAGAACCTCACTCACCCAGCACACACACCTTTTGCCCCGCTCCCCTCAGAAAGGAGGTTGAGGAGCATTAAGTGTAGAGCCACTAGACTGAGGAACAGCTTCTACCCTTAGGCTGTTTGACTCATGAATCTAACCAGAATAATCACTGTGAACAAAAAATCACATCATGTTGCTGCTGATCTGTTTCAATGTTGGTGTGTTCATGCATGCTCATCTGCTCACACGGACTTGTGTTCAGGTTTGTGCTGATGTTCGACGTGATGCTTTTATGCTATTAGTGCTTAGTGTATATTTAGTTGATGTTTTTCTTAGTTAATACCTTGGATGTTATCATTGTTTTTCTTTTACATGTTATTGTTGGATGTAACTGGGACCCTGTGTACATAATTTCGCTCCACCACATGTACCACATGAGGTGCGAATGACAATAAAGAATCTCTGACTCTGATATGGGCATGCTCCATTTTGACAAATTCACTGCCACTCACTATCATTTGCTTCAATCGACAGGTCCGAGAGAGGCTCCGTGTGGCCCTCGAGAGGGTGTCCATGTTGGAAGATCAACTTGCAGCATCTTCTCAAGAGGTAATCTTTGTTACAAACAAATACCTGCATCTCAACAAGCTTTGCACAAAAAAAAACAAACAAACATTTATTTAACCGCTTTTGTCTCCCTTTTTTCAGGTAATCTCTTTAAGAGACCAAATTAAAAGACGTCAACAAGGGGTGGACAGCGGGAAAGATGTAAGGGAGGGTTTTCTGCATGTTGGCTCCAGTTGTTTTTGTGCTTTTGTTAGAAAAGTAAAAATTGGGTACCATTGTGTGCTTTTAACTCCTCTAAAGCATCAAAACTGATTTTCACTCATTACATTTTCTTTACTACTCATCTTTTTGCTTTATTACCGATCATTCCAGCGGCTACCCAATGGTCCATCAGTTGGCCTGGAAGATGGGGAGCTGGAAAGACAGCGAGAAGGAGAGATAGAGCGACAGAGAGCTGAACTCTCCCAGCTGAGGGAGAGGCTGGCTCTCATGTGCCGGCAGGTGAGTGATGTTATGCATCTCTCATGGTGAGCACATATGAATTCCAGAATGGGGATTAAATTATAAGAGCAACGAGGGTTTTTCAGCACTAGAGTCTGTGTTTGCTTTCAGGGTTTAAGTGAGAAATCATGGCTGAAATCTTTTAGTTAATCACCTATGAATAACATTACACAATATAATAACGAAAGTCTAAAACAAACAAAAATAAAAGACCATAATGAATTTTAGGCAATAAGATGCCTTTAAATCTACTGTGACCAGCTGTGTGCAGCAGCATAGATTGTTGCAATCACTAATTAGAACAACAGTTTTTGTCCTTTTTAGTGTCTGCAGAAAACAAAGAACTGAGGGGACAACAAAAATGTAGATGCAGTTATTTTGCATGTGAAATGTGTCTTAAGTCACGATGTAACACCATCACCATCACTGTTGTTTAAAAGTCTCACTTTGACCAGACGTATAATCAATCACTGCTGTTCTCATATAGACCCATGGCAGGTAATGGTGGTTTTAAAGGTTTTAATCTTTGTCATTTCATGTGGCTTTGTGGTGTCACATCAGGTCGGAGAAATAGAGGAACAGCTTGCTGCCGCCAGGAGGGAGGTGACGAAGACCGAGGAGGCCAATCAGAAGCTCCAAAGGGAAGTGAAAGAGGTCTGTTGGTCCAGTCGGTCTCTTCTTGGCCAAAAATGCTGAGCTATCTCAGCACCTGGGGTTTCAAGAGTATATTCAAACACTCTGTGGGCTCATGCACTTTTTTTTCTGATTTCTTTTGCATGATCACTTCAACACTGCAACATTATAACAACTACACAAGCAGCAGGCTATTTACACAACCTCGCTGCTCTTGTTAAATTACACACACACCCCTTCGTCATTTTTCAAAACTACATATAAAACTTTACATTTAATTGGATATAATTATGTTTCATGGTCTACTGTTGCTTCTTTTCAGGCTCTTTGCCAAAGGGAAGACATGGAAGAAAGAATTACAACACTAGAACGAAGGTAATCTTTTTATTTTGTCCATCTATTTCAATCCAGAGGAGTCCTTAATTTCCTGGACCAAAGTTGGATACGTTTAGCTGTAATGTACACAGATGCCTTTAGACCTCTTTACAGTTTGGTGACTACACAATAAAAAGCCTGATTATAGCTCATTTAGCCATGCACACACCAAATCTGAATTTAGTTGTTTATGTTCATAGCTACATAATTAATTAAATAGTTATAAAATAGAGTTTTCAGCTTATTTAATAATGTCCTGCTCAAATAAAAACCAAAAATAACAATTTTTATGTGACCATACAATACTTGTTTTGCACTACTACACAAAATAAATCCAAAATCTGTCATCAGCAGGGGATTTTCCCTGTGAATGTGAAGCACATTGTTGTTTTAAAAGGGCCAGGTCAACTGTCTTTATGTTTTACACAAAAAAAAAAATACATTTAAAAAATCATAGAGTTTTATCCTTTCTGCTGAGTTAAAGTGAGCTTTAACAGTTCTGTGATGACCCAATTAAATGAGAAGATGGCTGCTTAAACTATGTCTGTAAGTTTTTATGTTTTATACAAAGATGTTAAACTATGACAGAAGGAAATTAAGTTTATTTTATTTTATTATTGCCTATTTATTTGGGGAAAGTCCATAAAACAACTATGCATAAAAATATAATGCTACTGTTGTCCTGTATGCATTTTACAGATCCAGTTCCTGATTAGTTTAATTAAAATAACATAAAAACGTAACCTCTATAGCTTTTGACACTTTAAAAATAAACAGAACTGTTCTAAACAAATACTAAAGAGGATAAGTGTCTACTTTTCATTCAACCTTTCATTCAACCTTTATTTAGACAGGTAAATCCCATCCCTACTGTTTAAACCTATTGAGGGAATTTAAAAAAAAATGGATTTCACAAAATTTATAATCGCAAATGATTTTTGCCATTTACAATATATTGATAAATCCTGCAAATACAACCAGTCATGTCATTCAACCCACTCGAGGTGGCCACCTCAGCTAATTGACCGAAAATCTTTTTTTTTGGTTACAAATATTGAGCTAAAATTGGATCTGGTAATGACTGAGGGTCACCCCAAACAAATATTCAGTGGTGGACAAGTACTCAACTCTAGTACTTAAGTAAAAGTATTGATACTCATGGTCAAATCTACAGTACATTGCTGTGTTGTTTTGAGTGATTTTATAGAACATTGTAACTCTCTGAAACCACCTGATGATGTATTGACGTAGAACCACTCTAACACCACATGCCTTAATAAGACCTGTAAACTACAAATAATATCTTCCCTGCATTTTACATGTTTGTGGAAAGTCGTGGAAATCCTAACAGACAATGCACATTTAGTCTTTTCCTCAGCTTCAGTATTCATGTACCACATTGTTTGTGTGTAAAAGTACATATATTGACAGCAACAACTTAACACAGGAGAGGAAACAGCAACACTGATAACTGAAAGTTCTGCCTAGCTGTCACGATAACAAATTGTGTTGTGTGATTAATTGTCTCAGAAATTATTGCGATAAACGATAACATTGTTTGAAATTTGGCCTTTTTTTTTTTCATTTGAGCCACGAGAACTCATTTTCAAGAGAGACCTGTTTAGGGAGCAGATGGGGGTTAAGGGCCTTGCTCATGGCCCCAAAGTGGGACGAATGAGGGTGGGGGCAGGTGTGAGTGCTTCACCTACCCCACCCACATTTTTGATGTTGTCGGTACCAGGGCTTGAACCGGCTATCTTCCGATCACAGGCCCACCTTCTCTAACCTCTGTGCAACCACTCCCCTACAAAACAATAATTAGTTAATAATTATAGTTATAATTAATTCAATAATTAGTAATGTCAAATTTAAGAAGAAATGTTGTTTAACTTTTGAGTGTATTACCTTTTTTTGACCACTAGATAGAAGTATAAGACTGTTTGAACAGAAGGATGGACAGTGAGGGAGAGAGCAGCGCGTCTTTTTAAGAAAAAGGAGTTAAAATGGATTTTAAATAAAAAATAGAAAGGGAGGGGTCAGTGAAGAGCACCAAAGTTGAGCCTTTTGTCATCCAATGTCTTCGGTAGAAAGAGAGAGACACACAAAAAAAAAACCAGATAAAGCCGATAAATGAAAATGAGGTTGATAATTTTAATTTATCATGCGATTAATTGATTTATTGTTTTTCATTTATCATGCGATTAATTGATTTATTGTTTATCGCAAAAGGCCTAGTTCTGCCATACTTAACATAGAAGCATACAAAGCAATGACTGTTCTGCACACATGAATCTAGCATGATACCTGAATCAACAACTGGCCAACTGCATTTCAGGAAAGAGAAACAGCCACAGAGGATTACAACGCTGAGCCAAAAGGAACAAGTAACAAGAAGCTTCCTAGAAATGTAGTTGAGTCGAAAGTATAATATTTGTCTGAAATGTAGTGGAGTGAAAGGCACAAGTCCCCCAAACCACAAATATTCAAGTAAAGTAAAGATACTCAGAAAATTTATTTAAGTACAGGACTCAAGTAAATGGACTTTGTTACTGTCCACTACTGCAAATACTCCAATCACACCTAGAATATGCAGTGTCTTCATTTAACATTTTGGCATGCATTCGTTTTAGTTTTTAATTTCACGTTTCCTTTCTGGCACACCATTGTCAGAAAATGCTGCAAATAAAAAAATGTGTTTAGCGAGTCACTGCTAGGCACCTGGATGACCCGGTGTACTGAGTAGGGAGTCTGTTGGTACACTGAATGAGTCTCCATTAGACATATTGACAATGCAAGTTCATATACAACCAAAGTAACTGGTTGACAAACATGCCATATTTTGTGCATTTACCATTGACTTGCTTTTCTGCTAGGTCAGACAGTGGGTCTGAGTGTCATATGAAAAAACAAAGACAGATAACATTTAATACGGTTGAGTTTCTCGTTGTTGAGCTTCCCTGGTTTTGCCAAGTCAGAGGAGAAAAGGAAAATCATCACAGAGTGAGATGAATGAATTCATAGATCCTCTGAATAGCTGCATGAATTAAATATTTAAGGCATTTTGTGTGGGGTGGAGGGAGAGTACGGGAGAGTACATATAAAATTCAAGCATTTTTTTTGGAAAATGACATTTGTAAAGATAGGCCATTTTGTTCAAAGATGGTAATAAGGTGACAAGTCTCTTTTAGATGTATCATTTAAAAAGCATCTAATTTTAAAATAAATGGTTCATGTTCTGTGTAGGTATCTCAGCGCCCAGCGGGAGGCGACCTCTCTCCACGACATCAAAGACAAGCTGGAAAATGAGCTGGCTAGCAAGGAGTCCCTGTACAGACAAGTAAAGTTTGTCTCAAATACTCCAGTACACATCTGCGCTTGTAATAAAATTGTTCGCTCTTGCAGTGTTTGCAATCAAACAATGAAAGCATTTAAAGTCTTCAGGGCCCCGCTGCAAGCCTCAGAGCTCATATATAGGTGTTTGCTGTTTTATGCCCAGAGTGAAGAAAAGAACAGGCAACTGCAGGAGCGTTTGGATGAGGCCAAGCAGAAGCTCCAGCAGACGCTGCAAAGAGCAGAGACTTTGCCTGAAATCGAGGCCCAGCTTGCTCAGCGAGTGGCTGCTCTTAACAAGGTATCGTGAGGAATTATTTTCTCATATGAGTGCAGTTGGCATGTTATCCGTTATTTTAGACCATTTTACATCAAAAACTGTTTTTAACAACCTCAAGTTTTCTGTTATTAGGCAGAAGAGCGCCACGGAAACTTTGAGGAGCGACTACGGCAAATGGAGGCCCAACTTGAGGAGAAGAATCAAGAGCTTCAAAGGGTAACGCCATCTATTTTTCAGCTTGTCTCAAACTGAAGCAGAAAGCAAGCTGTAGGGTTGTGTGTTCTTTATGATGAGCTCCTGTCTCTCGGTTTCAGGCGAGGCAGAGGGAGAAGATGAATGATGAACACAACAAACGCCTCTCGGATACAGTGGACAAGCTTCTGTCTGAGTCCAACGAGAGACTTCAGCTCCACCTCAAAGAGAGGATGGCAGCTCTAGAAGAAAAGGTGGAAAACTCCACTTCATCCAACTAAGTTTGTGTAAAATCGATAAATTCTGACAACTTTTTTTATGTTTGCTCTTACAGAATGCTCTTTCAGAGGAGCTGTCCAACATGAAGAAAATCCAAGATGATCTCATTGCTAATAAGGTAATATCTTCTTCAACTGAGCTCTCGCCATTTAAAATGTTAAGTTTTGTTTAAATTATTTTATTTTAGTTTTATTTATTTGTAAGTTTTCATTTTAAGTTTTTAGCTTCTCTCCACTGACTCCATATTCAGAAATGAATTCAAAATCTTACTTCTAACCTACAAAGCGCTCAACAACCTAGTTCCATCTTATATTTGAGATTTTATTGTTCCATATTTTCCTAACGGAGTACTTCACTCTCAGACTGCAGGCTTACTCATGGTTCCTAGAGTTTCCAAAAGCAGAATGGGAGAAAGATCTTTCAGTTATCAGGCTCCTCTCTTGTGGAACCAACGTCCAGTTTCTGTCCGTGAGGCTGACACACTGTCCAGTTTTAAGACTGGACTTAAGACTTTTCTTTTTGATAAATCCTATAGTTAGGGTTGGCTTGTTATGCTGCCATAGGTTTAGACTACTGGACTACTACTTAAATTAATTGCAAAAATTGAATAGTTTTCATTTGATACTATTTCTATCTTAACATGTGATTCTTGACCTGCCATTGTGTATCTGTTCCTCTCAAACCCATCTGGTTGAAGCAGATGCTGCTTGTCCTGAGCCTGGTTCTTCTAAAGGTTTCTTCCTCATGAGGGAGTTTTTCCTTTCCACTGTTGACTTCATGCTTGTTCAGGATGAGAGTCTGCGATGAAGTTAAACTCAAAGCAGTCTGCTCTAGAGATGCACCGATCCGATACCAATATCGGTATCGGTCCCGATATCGCAAAAACGTCTGGATTGGATATCGGTGACAATGTGACCGATCCATGACTGGGCAGATCTATTCACTCTAACTCTATGCTTTGTGCTCTGAGTGGCGTCACACTCTAGCGTACTCACTGAACAAATTAAAGTTGTGTTGTTTTTACGTTTGACCAAGCTTGTGAAGTTCTTGGTGTGTTTAAGTGTGCTGTTATGGCGCAGAGTTTTCAATAAATTTGTAATTCAGTACATTCATGTCTGCGTTTAAAAAAAACAAACGTTTTAAGTTAATTATCATTTTTCATGTGTGTTATAGGAGCAGCTACTTGCTGAGCTGGAACGAGTCCAACTGGAGCTGGACCAGCTGAGAGGCAGGCCTGGATCTTCCTATTCCAGGTTAGCCAAAATTATTTTTTATGGAGATGTTCTAATGTAGCGCTCTACTATTTATGAAAATCCAAGGGATTAACATTCCCTGCGCTGTATTTGAACTTTAGTTTACCAATACTTGTCTTTTTTGTGCACTAATACCCAAATTCTTCCTATGATCCAAAAACTAATGCAAATATTTGTTTTCAGGTAAAGCATGACTTTGCACCTTGCCCAGAAAACAACAGTGCTGTTCATTTCATGTAGTGTGTGACATGACTCTCATTGTAGGACGGGCAGTGTGAGCTCCCTTCCCTCCACACTTTTTCGGAGATCTCTTCCGGGGAGCTCCTCGGAGCTGCGGTACCCTCAGGGCAGTGGCTCACTCCCAGCAGGCTACAGCACCTCCTCCAGTGCCGTGGTGGTCAGGCGGGTACACCGCGGCCGCTGGGGACCTCCTAGAGACGACAGCAACAAGGTTTTTATCCCATATTGATAAAATGCTACTAATTAAAAATGTATCTTTAAAATATATTATGGATTTTTTTTCTCTTCTCAGTATGGTGAGTGGGACAGTGGTACCATACTAGGTCCCGGGTTTGAGGGTGGTGTAGAGGGAGGTTGCTCTGATGATGAGGAGGACAGGGAGACTCTGTTTGGATCTGAGCTGCTCTCTCCCAGTGGACAGACAGATGTTCAGACTTTGGCCATCATGCTTCAGGAGCAGCTGGAGGCCATCAATAAGGAGATTAAGTAAGCATGAGCGTTTGGATGACATTAAAATGAGATACTAATCCAGACAACAATTATTTTAACAATGTTGGACTTATGAAGACATCTTCTGTCCTCTAAGGCTGATTCAGGAGGAGAAGGAGAGCACAGAGCTGAAGGCAGAAGAGATTGAGAGTCGGGTCAGCAGCGTGGCCTTTGACGCCTCATCTCTTCCACCATCCTCGTTGGGAGGGCGAGACAGTGCTGGAAGAGGCTACATGACTCCCTCCATCACATCCTCCACACTTGCGTCTCCTTCGCCTCCTAGTTCAGGACATTCCACCCCCCGCCTGCCACATTCACCTGCTAGGGAGACGGATAGACAGGTGAAGTGTCAGCTGATTAATGATGTCAATCTGAGGTGCACCATGCAAATCTGGAATATTTTTTTTTACCATGCAGAACAGCAAAGAGGGTGAAGAATGCAAAGCACTTGCCCTCATCGACTCAACTCCTCCACCTGTTCCTCGAGCCCTTCGATTGGACCGAATGACTCACACTCACCCGGGCGCGGGTCTTGATGACCACCGTGAATTCCGCAGGTACAAAAATATATCCCTGGATACCATTTATAAATCAGCCCTAAAAACACTTTGTGTGCTAAATGTAGTGATGTTTCCTCCTCCTTTTTGTCCAGTCTTTCTACTGATGGCTCCACCACTGCTAGCCAGGATTCCCTTCACAAAGCCAGCAAAAAGAAAAGCATCAAGTCCTCGATCGGTCGTCTCTTTGGCAAAAAGGAAAAGGGAAGAATCGGTGCACCCGGGCGTGAATCGGCCTCACTGGGTTTGTGGACTGACTGGAAACAATTTACTGTAACTGCTGCTAAACATGTCCCTGTTGTTAAAGTAAAACATTAATTTAAGGATGATCAATAATGTTTAATTTTTATCTCAACAGCCTCCACTCCGTCTGATGACCTTGGTTCAGCTGACCCATTAGGCTTGGCAAAACTCGGGACTGGAACGGTGGAAAAAGATCGCCGCAGCAAGAAGAAGTGAGACCAGGCATCTTTCCACACACTTCTCATGTTATAAAGAGATCTTTGGAATCTCCGAAATGACAGCAGATTTATAATTCACACTGCCACGTGACACAAACCAGGCTTGCGCTGGAGCATTTTATTCCAGCCACAGTATTAAGTTAAAAAAAACAAATGCCATTGTTGTGTCTTGAGTCACAAATGTGGTATTTAATATCTTATGCCTCGGTGTTACGTTCTATTTATAAAGTGAGATGTTGGTAAGGTGAGATATAAAGGTATTAATCTCTGTCAAACTTTTCCACTTTCCTTGCCAGGCATGACTTGTTGGAGGATGCTTGTCGTCAGGGTCTTCCTTTCGCCTCATGGGATGGTCCCACTGTTGTAACATGGCTTGAGGTACATATATGCACAATACTGATGCCCTAATTCTCAGAGAAATCAGATTTTTTAGTAATAAGTCAAGACTACAACATCAATCACCTTTTGTCACCTGATCGTATAAAGTATAAGTTTGTCCACAAATCGTGCACCCTATCTCCTCTCTGTTTACCCAGCTGTGGGTCGGGATGCCTGCATGGTATGTGGCAGCATGCCGTGCCAACGTGAAGAGCGGTGCCATCATGGCCAACCTGTCGGACACAGAGATCCAAAGAGAGATCGGTATCAGTAACCCTCTGCACAGGCTCAAACTTCGTCTGGCCATACAGGAAATGGTGTCCCTCACCAGTCCGTCGGCACCTGCGAGCACTCGCTCTGTAAGGCTCAAAGATAAAAGTGTTTTGCTCTATTGATTAGCATATATCTTAGATCTTTTAGCGTACCATTTGGCATTCGTTTAGCGTATATACGTTTATATCTTAGATCCTTATTTACTGTTTCTTTTTACACTTTATATTTGTGTTGCTGTTGGATGTAACAGGGACCCTGTGTACACAATTTCATTCCAGCTTATGTACCACATGTGATAGAATGACAATAAAGAACCTTGACCTTGACCTTGAGAAAAGCATGAAAACAACCCTGATGTGCTGTTAAATGAACAAGTCTGTACTTTTTTGACAGGGAAGAGGACTGATTTTTTGTTTTTTTATCTTTACAGTCAACGAGTAATATTTGGATGACCCATGCTGAGATGGAGTCCCTTGCTGCTGCCACCAAACCAGTAATTATTACATTTCATTGCAAATCTAGAAGGAACCTAAAATTTTGTCATTTTAATTTGGTTTAGTGTTCTTTCTTTTACATTATATAATTATGTTTTATTTTTCTTTTGTCTCTGATTAGGCATGTTTGTCTTCGACTTTCCTTTGCTATTTACTAAAAATCTATTTTGATGTACTGTTTCCCCCCCCCCCCACTAATTTTCACTCACTAACAAAGCTTTTGCCTCCTTCTGCCCTTTCTCTCCTCTTGATTCTGTCCTGGCACTGATTCATTATAACACACATGTGCACACACAAACACACTCTTCCCTGGTGACTTTGCCCTCCCCTTCACTCTTTCTGTTTTCCCTTTACTTTCTCTAACCGAACCAAAAGGAGCAGAAGGAGTTCAGCTGGGATCAGGTGAGAAGAGAAGAATGAAGATTGTTGCACACTTAGAAACTGATTTAAATAAAGTTCATCAAACCTGTTTTTAAACAATAGTTTTAAAATTAACAACTCAGTCTCAAGATAGCTCTTCCATATAAACCTCAACACATTTGCATGACACCTTTAGTTTTATTTATTGCTGCTTTTTCACTCGAGCAGCATCCACGTTCTTACCTTAAATGTATGCTGAGTGTAAATGGTGTCTTGACACTGCTGGATGTGTCAGTCTGCTGAGAGCTGAGTAAACTTTTGACTGATTAGACGTACAGAATGAGCAGCTTCAGCACCATCAACATGATGTACAAGATCTATGCTCAACATAGTAACACACACGTTGTTCAGTTCAGCAAACAGTGTCTTGTAAAAGTCTAGAAGTTTAATATTAGCTAGTGAAGATGTTATTTTATACCAGTATGTCTTTTTTATAAGAAAGGGTTGTTTTAAAAGCCTAAAAAAATGATACAAAGCTGTTGTTAGAGTAGCATCGAGCTAGACTGGAGGAAGACTCTTTTCTTCATAGTTTGTGCTCTGTGACTGATGTCACTGCTGGTAATGACAATTACCAGTATTTGATAAAGCATCACTTCAAAAGTGGCCAGAATATTTCTTTAACTCAGATGGAACCAGTCGCCCCCTGGTGGTAGTTTGAAACAGTGCATATTTATAACATTTTCCACTTTTTATTTACTTTTTTAAAGCTACCCTTTTTTAGTTAAAGTTTTTATTTAAAACAAACACACAGTGAAACTATGTTTTGTGTGTTATAACCTGCAACTATAATCAATTAATTTTAAGTTCACAGATAAAAGAGTATACAAGCAGTGGTGGCCCGTCCATTGGGGTCAAGCCCCACCTAATAAAATCATTCACCCCAAAATGTAGTTACTTGTAATCAATAATGTAAATTAATTTTTTTACTGAGCTTGCGGTGTATTGTTTTGTTCTGTATGTTTTTTCAACTATATTGACAATTTTAAGTGGAATTTTAAATGATTTTTAGTGATAAATCTTCTGTCTTTTACTTACCGTATTTTCCGGACTATAAGTCGCTCTGTGTTTTTTTCATAATTTGGTCAGTCCTGCAATGTACAGTCTGAAGCCGCTTATAGTTTTTTTTTTCCCTATCCATGACACAATTTTTGATTGACACATTAAATGTTCTTTCTTGATGACACGAACCAAACCGAACATGAACATGAACCGCTCTGGCTGCGGAGGAACGCTACAGCATCTACATCGTCTCCCTCCCCCGCCCGCCTGCACCTCGCCGCTTCCCGGGGCTGCAGACCACACGCATCACTTCCTCCTCGCTCCGGCGGCGGAGGGATGGGGCCCTCTCGCCCCCGCCACAGCTGGTGACCGAGATGGACTGTTCTCAGCGCGCTGTGATCACGCCACACTGCCCAGGCGAAATGAAGCTGTTTTGACCAATAAAGTGCATTAATTAAGGAAAAGTTAAACAGAGACACACCTTTGCTATAATGTTGAGCAAACAAATAATTGTTTTTAGGTGTTACGCTTGTTAAATTTCGAAGAGCTGCAACAGCGAGTCCTCTCGTGCGTGCTCCCGTGGCTGCCAATCGATTTTTGACACAACACCGTCCCACGTTTCCCAGGGGTCAGTGGTGACGTATTATAAATGCGACTTATATATTTTTCCTCTTCATGAGGCATTTTTTGACTGATGTGACCTTTAATCTGGAGTGACGTATAGTGTGGAAGATATGATATTTACCGTTGTGGGGCAGTATGGTTCAACAAAAAACTTTCATCAAGCGAATCTGATTGTGCGACTAGTGATCTGAACAGGCAGGTCCAATAGTGTTTCATTTGGGGCATCTTATGTTCTGCCCTGTGGACTCATTCAACTAGTTTTAATGCATTAATACGACTTCAATAGACCTGACATGAGCTCAAACCCAGGACCAGACACAACCTTGACCTGTGGGAGGGAGAAAAAAGGCAAAAACTTTGTAGATGTACACACAAAAAACAACAATATATTTAATATTAGGCAACAAATATCCTTGTTTTTCACAGAAAATGTTATGCAATTTGCAAAGGTTTATGTGGTTGGCGATTCAGGAAATTAATGTCCGCCCCATGGGAGCTGCCACTGCGTACAAGTTTGATTTTTAAGAGTTAATCCCACTTAAATCAAACAAATTAATGGGTTTATCTTTAGATCCTTCCAACTCATCTTTAACTAATTCTTGACAATAAATGTATCTTGTTTCTTTTAGATATTTATAATTTGTCTGTATCTTATCCTCTTGCAGATTCTGGCCTATGGAGATATGAACCATGAGTGGGTGGGAAATGAATGGCTGCCCAGTCTGGGTCTTCCTCAGTATCGCTCCTACTTCATGGAATCACTGGTGGATGCCCGAATGCTCGATCACCTCACCAAGAAAGAGCTGAGGGGCCAGCTGAAGATGGTGGACAGTTTCCACAGGTGCACATCCATCCACCTTTTCAGATCAAGTAGCATCTCAGTGTTTCGGCATCATATTTGCATCCCCAATTCTTTGAATGGAATTTTTTTAAGATCAGTTGTGAAAACAATAATAAGCTAATGTGAGTGTATTCCTCAAACAGGGTGAGTCTTCATTATGGTATCATGTGCCTGAAGCGCTTGAACTACGACAGGAAAGAGCTGGAGAGGAGGCGGGAGGAGAGTCAGCATCAGAACCAAGGTGAGTTCTGTGGATAATACATCAATCTTTCCATCAGAAATAATCCCAGACCAGTTCCTTTTTCTTCTTACTCTGCTGATGAAATGAGCTTCTCGTTGTGCTCCTCTCCTCAGATGTGATGGTTTGGTCTAATGAGCGAGTGATGTGTTGGGTGCAGTCAATCGGCCTGAAAGAGTTTGCAGACAACCTTTTAGAAAGCGCGGTCCATGGGGCCCTCTTGGCACTAGACGACACTTTTGACTACACTGACTTGGCCCTCCTTCTTCAGATACCAAACCAGAACACACAGGTACTCCAAATTTCTGAAAAAGTTCCCATCTTCAACTCCAAACTCACTTATTTTTTGTCTCGTTGTGTCTGCTGAGGCCATATCTAACTCCAGTTTGACTTCTTGCAGGCGAGGCAGCTCCTGGAGAAGGAGTATAATGCGCTCATCTCCATGGGAACAGAAAGGAGGCCTGATGAGGTATGACAAAGCCACCTGTCAGTGCGTAATTACTCCAGATAATCTTTGCGGCTTAAAGATGGAAGGTTGAGAACCAGCCTGACTGAGACCGTTTTACTGAAAAACAAGACTTTGATGCATATTTGTCAGATTTTTCCTTTTGTTAATGGTGTCTTAGACTCTTTTTATTCTGGCAGCCTCTTTGGCATTTGTCACTACTGGCAAACTCTTGGCATGGTGAAATGACTCAGCTGTGTTTACATGGGTGCTAATTGCCTAGTTACAGCATGTATAACTAAGCGGTGTAATATTGCTGCTTTGTCTAATACTAGTTTATCAACAGTGACTAATAGATAGCCTGTGCTGTGAATGTCGTTGGGTCTAATCACCAACATTATTTAATTTACGCTGCAGGATGGCACAAAACCATTCACACGGTCACCATCTTGGAGGAAGATGTTCCGGGAGAAGGACCTCCGTGGCGTGACCTCTGATTCCTCAGAAACATTACCTGCCAATTTCCGTGCCTCCGCCATCTCGACCCCCTCTGTCACCCTGAGAAAAGTCCAGAGTGAAGGTGAGGAGTCGCAGTTTTAGACAAGATACTAAATTGTGGTCTCCTGCTACAGAAGCACCAGTCTATATGTCAACGTGAGTCACAAAATGTTAATGGTAATCAATACCAAAGCCACATATACATAAACCAGTGTCTATTTTTATCAACAAACCATGAAAAATTTAAACTAAATTCAGGCTAAATTAATTTCTGAACTTCTGACTTTCAACTACTTGTGTACTACTAAAAAACAAATCCACTCTGAACTGGGCTTCAGTTGATTTGTGTATCAAATGGCATAATTTATTATTACAGGTGTAATTTAATAAGATGCCGATTGGATGAAAAGAGCTCTTGGACCGGATATGGCCCAGACCATGATCATTGGTCATACAGTAGTCCCTCGATTATCGTGGAGGTTACTTTCGACACCCCACACCCCACAATAGGTGAAAAACCGCGAAGTAGGATCACTATATTTATTTTAGTATGTATCTATATTTTGAGGCTTTATAAACCCATCCCACACTCCTGCAATGTTCTAAACTCTTAAACCTATGTCATTTTAACAACATACATATATGTACTGCTACTGCTAAATTTTATATGGGAACTCACCAGCCTTGGTCTGGTCTGGTTCTGATCGGCTGTCTGCAGCCGTTGAGCACCAGACATTTTTGGAGAGAGCCAAACCTTTGGAGAGCCAGCACAAAACCACACAATGGTCCAGATCGAGTCCAAATAATCCAGAGGGATCCAGATGAAAAAAGTCTGGGTGAGCTCTGGAGAAGACGTTGGACCTCCAAACAACTCCTCCCCACTTGAGAGGCTTCATGGGCCGGCAAGCAGCACTCAGATTTTCCAATGTGGCTGGAAGTAGTCCTGGTCCAATTGCTGGTCAATTCCGTACGCCTCTCTGCATTCACTGAACGACTAAGTCACTATAAATAAGGACCAAACTTTTTAGTTGAGTTCGGCTCAGATCAAAACTTTCCCTCCATTTTGGCAGAAAACAGTGGCCCGAAGCACTGTTGCCTTCTGGGTACTGTAGTCCTTTAACTGGCCTGACAGCATAAGCTTATTGAAAGAAAACTATAGAATGGTGTCACCTGTCCAAAGTTTGTTTTCATTAACTTTTCATCCCATTCTGTCCCAATCACATGTGTAATATTAAAGTTGACAACTGTTGAAAAAACGCGAAAGCACAAGTCCACGAAAGTCGAACCGTGAAGTAGCGAGGGACTACAAATATGTTTACATCTCCTCTTCAAGCTATATTTTTTAAATAATTTTATTTGCTCTCTGAATCATGAAGTGGAATTTTATAATAAACTTTAGGTTTGTTTTGATACACAGTAATACATTTTAACGACAATAAAATGCAATTGGCAAAGATGAAGAGACTCTGAAAGCAGGGATGCTAATCCTCCTTGGAAGTTATATTTTCATCTGTTAAAATTATATATAACATAAGCTTTTTAAAACAACTCCAAAGCTAAGAAAAAAGAGAAAGAGAACTGATCGACCTTTTATATCATTATCACAAGGACTATGAATAAAGGAATCCATGATGTTTAAACTGAGGAATTATAAAGAAGGAACTGGATTTTTTCTGAGATGGATGTTATTGGTTTCAGGCAGAACAAAACTTTCTAAGGTTTCCTGTTTTCAATGCTTTTATTTATCATTGCTAACCTGCTTTTAAAAATAGATTTAATTTAAAATTACATTATTAGTACTGCCCCCTGCTGTTTCATGGAATAACAGCAGTTTTACAATTTTGCTTCTACCTATTAGGCCTTGTTCAAACAGATTCCATCTATCCATCTTTTACCCATGTCTTCCTTTTGGGGTAACTGGGGTCAATGGTGCCCATATCAGCAGTCACTGTGCGAGAGGCGAGCGGACACCCAGGATAGGTGTCCAGCCAATCACAGGGACACATAGAGACCAGTGGCAGCTGGTGGAGTTTTCTCCGGGGGGGGCTATAACTTCAAAATAGACATAAACACACACACACACACACACACACACACACATATACATATATATATATATATATATATATATTCTAGAATTGTGCCGCTCAAGGTGGCTGCATGTTGGAGCAGCTCTCTTACTTTAATTCTGAGATTTTGCTTTTGGAAACTTTAATTCCTGTTTTTCTGGTTGTAACTCACATTTTTTGGGTGATTGTTTCCTCTGGTATCGGACGCTGTGCAGCTGGAAGGATTTTTACTGAAACTTTTTTAGTTTTGGACATTTGCTATAATGCGTATCCATGGCAGCAAGGCAGTTGTCTACAACCAACAGCAGCTGATTAACATCTCAAAAGTTCAAGTAATATCTCAACTACAGCCACAAATCTCAAATGAGTTGAAGGATGTTCTGTGGATGCATTCTCATCTACCTGCCAGCTGTGCTCGAGTGCCTGACCACTGAGAATCCTGCAACTAGCAGGAAACACGGATCATGACAGTGGAAGGACAGGATCATCCCTCGACACCTACAGTTGGCTGTCTGCAGCTATGAGGAGCTCGGCAGACTGCTGGGAAGAGTGGCCATCGCTCTGGAAGGAGTTCTGCCCAGCTTTCGGGCGGTCCTACAGCCCGGGGGAATGGAGAGAGGCCAGCTGAGTCTGGATGGACGGATCGGACAGCATCTGCAGCCAGTTTCTTAGGATCCACTGTGGGACAGACCTTTACAAAAGATCCTTCCTGTCTACAGCCATCAGCATCTATAACATCTCTTAATGAAAAGAGGATAACGAGTTA